ACGTACGTATGGCTCATTTCGGTGGAACTTCCTGCTAAGATGAGGAAGAAAGGCCTGGCAATCTACTTCCCGGAACTAGCCACAGAAAATTCTCTGGATCACAGGGGTCCAGGAGGTGACTGTCCAGGGACAAGGGTGAAGGATGTGGTGGTGTTTTATTCTGTTGTGCATGATGTCGCCGTGAGTCAACCACAGAATTAGCATGTTGTTTTGTGACTGATGCCTCACAACCACGTTCTAATAATGCATAAGCATCACTTGAAAGGAGACAAAGATGTAGCTAATGCCATTTGGACGTGGGGAAAAAAACCCAACCCTTCCACTCGAAGTGTGACACTCTTAATTAAATAGTAACTGTAATTAGCCCAAAGTGCAAATGTTGGAAATATTAATTAGGGTCTCTCTGGAACTGCTGTCAGTGTTAATGTGGAACTGTGGGGGTCCTTCCAACATCTGCTTGAGGACTCTAGGTACAAGATGGAACATCCATGCCCAGCATCTCTGAATGCTACCTGTGGGCCCCTCTGTGACCATTGGTACTGAAGAGCCTCGGTACCCTGTGTTTGCACAACGGTGCCCATATCAGTAGACACTGGGGGTTTGCCCTGAGTCCAGTGTTGCTCCAAGCGAGCCATCACCTCTGTCCTAGTGTGGCCTCCGAGCATCTTGAAGTGAGGCTCAACTTTCACATGATGGCAGGACTTTCTCTCTCCCAACAGTGTGCTAATCTAATGTAGCTGATAGAATTGACGCCATCGCTGCATCAGACAGGGAGTTCTAGTGGTGTGTAGTCCACGGGGAGTTGTGTTGCTAACCCAAAGACCATACCTCTCTGCCAGTTCAAATCCACCAACCACTCCAAGGGAGAAAGATGCTAGTTTACAGCCTCAGAAGTTCCCTGACGGGTCAGCTATGTGTTGATTGCATCTCCACGGCAAAGAGTTGATTGAGTTTACATAAAATACCCCAACACTAGACTTCCCTCCAGACCAAACCAAAACCATTGCTGTTGAGTTGATTCCAACACAGAGAGACCCCATGAGTTCAGTGTGGAACTGCTCTGTAGGGCTTTGGGTTAGTACTGAAACACTTAACTGTTGTATACCACCCCAATTCCTTTGTTAAGAACTACAGAAATACTTAGTGCAGTGGATGGCTCCCACTAGGCTGGGTGAAGGGCAGTTGTACTCAATTTGACTTCTGAGAGAACTAGTTAGAAAACCAGAGACTTTGAACTCCTTTGCAGATGGACAAGGAAGCTGAGGCTATCAGAGACTTTCTCCGCCGCTCAGTCCACTCCTACTGACTTTGAGTTTGCTGTTACTCTCTTTGTTCCCCGCCCCCCCCATATGTGTGTGCGCACACACACAAACACATTGGCAATTCAGAGATCTGGTAATGGAAAGCAGATTACAAGGAAATAAAAATGATCCTATCTCACTTGCTCATGTTGCACCAGGTTTCACTTTGCTGATCTCCAAGATTAGTTGAACTCTCTCTCCTTAGTTTTAGTGATACGAACTACCCCCCCTTTTTTCCCCCCTGCTTCATTGACATCTCTATTTTTGCACAAACTAATATGACTGTAGCTTCTCAACTAGTTTTCTTGTACTTCATGGTATTTGGCCTCTTCTCTCATAAAGGATTTTGTAGTGAGTCATTGGAGACACCAGCATGTCTTTGTCACAACTACTCAACTCAGCTATTGTTGTACCATAATGGTCCTGGGGAAAATGTAATGACATGAACGTAGTGTTCCAATAGAACTTTATTGACATCTTATCCAGGATGTTTGCCAACTCCTGTTTCTATTCCCTCTCCCTACCAATTCTATCTGGTGGATTTGAACCTCATGCCTTTGGGATTGCAGCTCAGCTTCTTACCACAAGACCACCAAAGCTCCCTTGGAAACTGGAAAGAGGGTTACAGTGGGTTGGGACTGACTCCATGGCAGTGGGTAAGGCAGCCACATTTGAGCTTTTCCCTTGTCCCATGTAGAGTCTTTGAGTAGCACAGGTGGTGAGCACTCTAAGCGGCTAGAGAAACATTGGAGGTTTCCATTGTGCTCGGCTATGTTGTGAAGAAAAGTCTGGTGAAGTATCTGAGGACGTCTATGCAGCACTGCACGAGGTGGCCGTAATTTGGAATCAACACCATGACTATTGCTTCTCCCAGTGTTCTCCTGAGGGTGCACAGGGTTAGCTTTCTGTGTGTGCGGACCCAAGCACCCTGCAAAGAGACAGCCCACAGCCCCAACTGCTGAGGGGAAGAGGTTGGGAAGAAAGCCACAGGTGTGTGATTTTTGCTTTCAGTGAGATAGACATTTGGAGACATTAGTCTGGGGGAGAAAAGGGACTGATGGGAATGTTTTCCCTTGTAAAACGTTTTCAACTTAGCCTAAGCTAAGAGAGTAGCCTTCCAAGTGTCCTCTTTAACATCCTAATTAAGGTTCCTCAAAATAAAAGTACCAGCTCCAGAGCTGCTCCCAGAACAGCACCCCCTCTGCCCGCCCCTCCCCCCCTCCATAGGAGTGTTTTTGCTACACTCAAGTTGCTTCAGCTGAAGAGGCTGTCCAAGCCTGGGAGGTGGAACTGAGGACATGGGAGCAGCTCAGACACTTCCCCCCATCCCCGTCTTATTAGATGAGAGCTAAAGTTCTGTCTTCTTGACCACAGACTGTGGAAGAGACATAGCCCTTTGGTGAGCTTAATTGTTTTCTCTCCATCATTCTCTTTCTCTAACTGAACTCCCTGTCCACCGAGACCACAGAAAATTAGGGCTTCTGCGTTACACTTTCTGACACAGTGTAAGTAGGATAAGATTCTCATCTGTTGGTCATAAGGTAACCATGAGTCGTAGTCAACTTAACGGCACCTAACAGCAGCAACAACTACATCATGTATATGTGTGTCTACATGTGAGTGTGCATTCATGATGCATTCGTGCTGTGTGTGTGTAATTGCATGTGTGGAGGTATGTAAAGCTGTGAATGAGTGTGTGTGTCAGTGTGGAAGCATGTATGTGGGTGGTGTGACTGTGTATGTGTGCATGTGAGCATACATGTTTGCATATATGTCTAAATCAAGTATCTATGAACCTGTTTTGATTAAACCTGTATGTGAGCTTGTGTGTATGTGTGTGACTTTGTGTATATGAGAGTGTCTGTGTGTGTTTGTCTTAGGGTTTGCATGTATGTGTGTGAGGTTGTGTTTCTTCTATGTGAGTGTATCTCTGTGACTGTATGAATGTGAGTGAACACTGTATGTGCTTGTATGTATGCGTTTATGTGGATGAGTGTGTGAGATGGTGTGTACATGTGAGTGTGTGTGGAGGTTGTTAGTGCTTTGATGAGGAATATGCACAAGAGGTTTCCTGAAATGGAAGTACTTGAATTCAGAGTTCTTTCTTTTTTCTTTTTTTTTCTTCCTTCTTTTGACTTGACTTTAATTATCACTCTGCATGTTTTGCCTAGATCTGAAGGGTGAATTGTTACATAATACTCTGTACTTAGAAAAAAAAAGAAGGTGGAGGGTGTGGGAGAGGCATTGACTAAGTAAGGTTCAGTGTTCAGTCCTGTGTTTTGCAGAGGTAACTTGAAATGGATACATCTCAGAGAGCCATCCTGTCCCAAGTTAGGTCCTGAATGTCCACGGGCAGCCTCTTGGTGACACTGTGACCACTACACACACACACACACATATACAAACATGGCAACCATTAAAGTGGACATTACCACAGGAGAGTATCTTTTCCCCAAATTAGGTCCTGAACATTCATTGATTGTCTTCTGCTAACACTGGAGATACTTCTCTCTCTCTCTCCCCCCTCTCATTTTCCCCCTCCCTCTCCCTTCCCCCCTCCCTCTTCCCTCTCCCCTCCCCCCCTCTCCTGCTTTCTCTCCCCCTTCTCTCTCCTCTCTCTCTCCCCCTCTTTCCCTGTCTGTCTCCCTCTCTCCCCCCTTATCTCTCTCCCCCTCTCCCTCTCTCTCTCTCACACCCACTGACCATAAAAAACAACTAAATCTCAACCACCCACGCACCCCCTTTCATTCTATAATGCAAGCCATGTCATATAACACTTTGATTCAATACAGATGCTTAGATTACCTTTCACTCAAGATGCGCTCATTGCAAGGAGCCCCGGTATCACAGTGGTTGCTAAATGCTTGACTGCCATCCAGAACTTGTTGGTACCAACCTGCCCAGTGACTCTGTAGGAGGAAGACCTGGCAATCTGCTCTCAGATTTTTCTACTCAACTGACATGGCTTTGAGTGGAAAATGACTCCTTGCTGAGCTTCCACTGGGTTTCTAAGGCTATAAATGGCAAGAGAGGAGATTGCCCGTCTTGGTCCCTCAGAACCATTGGTAGATGAGAACTACCAATGGTCAGAGAGGTACCGACCATGGGGCCATTCCTACTAGCTGGGTATGAGTCAGAAAGTGCTCTCCAGCTTCTAACAACAGCAACAGAGCAGTCTGCTGAGCGAGTGCAGATAACTCAGGATGCAGATTATTTATCAAAGGGAAACTTCACAAAGTGTCATAAAAGCAGTCTTAATACTTAAAAATCAATCAGACACACAGAGAACACGTGTTCCATTTCATCCTTCTTGGCATTTTAAGACTCGGATCAAAGCTGTTCACCAGGGTAGACAGTGGCCTGTTCACTGGTTCCGAAATGGAAGTGAATCCAGAAGGATCTACCAGGGGTGCGTGGGGGGATCCAAATAAAACAGAAAATCCAGTCGTGTGTGGCCCAGACCTTCAGGCCCTCAGCTATCAGACTGAATGGCGTAGGGAAATGACTTCACCATCCAGATCTGTGAAATGGGAGTGAAAGATGGTTACTCATGATTGACCCATTGCAGACTGTTAAGAGTGGGGCTCCTGCTAGGAAATGTTGGGGTTCATGGGTTCAATGTCTGGGGAAGGGTTCTGCCCGGCATCTGCTCACCTTTCCTCCCCCCCGCCCCTTTTTAAATCTGATTTTGCAGGGTAACCAGGAAGCAGCAGCCGCCCCTGACACAATGGCCCAGCCTTACGCTTCGGCCCAGTTCGCGCCCCCTCAGAACGGCATCCCCGCGGAATACACGGCCCCTCACCCCCACCCGGCTCCGGAGTACACGGGCCAGACCACCGTCCCTGAGCACACGTTAAACCTGTACCCTCCCGCCCAGTCGCACTCGGAGCAGACCGCGGACACCAGCGCGCAGACTGTCTCCGGCACCGCCACAGTAAGTGCACCCTTCTCGGGCGTGGAGGGAGGTTCAGCCTGGGCCTTGGGGGTGCTTGCCAAGGTGGGGCTGTGGGGGTGTTCCTCAGCTCCTGCAATGACAGCGGGAAGCACCTCTGTCAACAGGACTAACCAATGAGGGATCACACCTAGTACAATATTCCTTGCCCTCTTCTCACACTTGCTCCACTGTTTCCTCCTGATCTCTCTTGCATTCTCTCCTCATAGCCCCCTAAACCAGCTCATTTTTCATGGAGGCTTTTGCCTCTAAAAAGAAACATTTATCTACATCCATTCTACAACTAAAGCCCTGATGGCACTGGGGTTAAAAGTTGGCTCTTCACACTTAGCTGCCGGTGGTTGGAACCCACCACTTCTGCAGAAGAGAGAGACGGCCGTCTGCTCCAGTTAGGATTTACGGCTTCACAAACCCTAGAGACAGTTCTACTATGAAAGCTATAAGTCAGAATTGACTTGACAGTAGTGAGTTTCTTTGTAAATTGTGTGTTGTCTTTCTGTGCCATCCAGTTGATGGAGCCAGGTTTGTTGAGACCGTGAGGTTGTAAGCTGGATTCCTGTAAGTTTCATCTTTTCCTGAGTGGCCTCTTGAAAGAATCATTCAGTGTATTTCCTTTTTTGGTTATTGTTTATAGCCTTGTTGTTGTTGTGACTCATAGTCACCTGGTGTCACCCCGGCAGAGCTACCCTGTAGGGTTTCCAAGCCTGTAATTTTTGCAGTTGATTGTCAGATTCTTTCTCCCCCGGGGCCACTGAGTGGGTTTGGATCAAACTACCCACGCTTTGTGCTCATAGCTTAATTTCCACTCTCCCCCGTTCACAACCTCAATCTCTTCTCCATCCATCATGGTGCTGACGATTGGTCCAGTGGTGAAAATGTTTGTCTTCTTGCTGTTGACCTTCATTCCATATTAAAGACTACAGTCCTTGACCTTCTGCAGCAAGCGCTTCAGGTCCTCCTCAGTTCCAGCAAGCAAAGTTGGATCATCTCCATCACGTGGGTTGTTGATGAGTCTTCCTCCAATCCTGATGCCACATTCCTCCTCATAAAGTCCAGCTTCCTGAATGATCTGTTCTACATATAGATTGCAAAGGTATGGAGACAGGACGCATCCCTGACACATTCCCTTCCTGATTTGGAACCATGCAGTGTTTCCCTGCTCTGTTTTTGAGGACTGCCGCCTGGTCCAAGTATAGGTTTTGCATAAGCACAATCAAGTGTTCTGGGATTCCCTTTGTACTGAGGATTAAACCAAATTTGTTGTGATCCACACTATCAAATTGTTAACAGTTACAGCTTTGCTCAGCTCCACAATTAACACTCTTGGCACCAGCAGTCAGGAAATCAAAAGGTGAGTCGCATTAGGTAAATCTGCTGTCTGGGACCTTTCAGAGTACTGAGAATCAATGATGTCAGTTGAGAGACCAAGGTGTTCCTGATCCAGGCCTTGGTCTTCACAATCACTTGTCATACATCAGAGAACTGGACAATGGCTAAGGATGACAGAAGAAGAATTGATGCCTCTCTGAGTTGTGGTATGGAGAAGAGTCTTGAACATACCATGGACCACCAAGAAAAGAAATTGATCTGTTTTAGAGAGATTGAAACCACATTTCTCGTTGGAGGCTAGGATTTTGAAGCTCTGTCTCACATACTTTGGGCACGTGGCCAGGAGGGACTGATCCTTGGAGAAAGATATCATGCTCAGAAGGGTGAAGGAACAGTGCAAGAGAGGAAGACCCCAGATGACATAGATTGATACAGTGACTAGGACAATGGGTGTAGGTGTGTTGGGGTCAGTGAGACTGACTCAGGACAGAGCAGACTTCAGAGAGGTTGTAGGTACGGTTGCTGTGAGTTGCTGGCGACTTGACGGCACGTAACAATGACAACTCCTTCACTGCCATCAAGTGGATTCGTGCTCCCAGACGCCCACTAGGGTGGAGTAGAACTATCCCCATGGGGTTTCCAAGGCTGTAAATCTTCATAGAATCAGACCACTAACTACATCTTTTTCCCAAGGAGTGGGTTCACATTACTGGCAGCTTTAACCACCGTGCCTCTGTGGCTCCTTAAAAGCCTTTTTTGGGTGTATTCACATCCTTAAAATTTGCTCCCTTTTACGTGTCACCCCAACTCTTCCCTACTCTGTCCCAGCCCCTGGTTGAGTACTATTCTGTTGTATTTATGGAACACATTTTGTTTCTCTGTTCATACATGCTGGGCATCTGAATTATGTCTGTCATTTTGACTATGGTGAACAGTACTGCTGTTACTTTTTAAAAAATCTGATAAGCTACTAACCTGAGAGTTTAAAATCCACCAGCTACTCCAAGGAATAAAGATGAACAATCTTCTGCTCTAAAGTTCGACACCCCAGAAACATGACAAAGGGCCCCTGTGAGTCAGAACCACTGGTTATTGTTTTTATGGTCTGAGAAAGAGCTCTTGAAGTGTTAAAACCCAGCAGTTAATGGAACTCCCTTCGTAACTCCTCTGAAGGAAGGTGTGACAATTCACCTCCTTAAAGCTTTATATCCATGGTGTGAAGGTACCACAATTTCTTAATCAACTCAGTTGTGGTTGGATGTTCGGGCTGTTTCCAGGTTTCTTGTGATACTGAATCATTCACTCGATGGAATGCTACGCAGCACTCAGGAGCAATAATTTTAAAAAATACTACATAACTTAGGAAAGTCTGGAGAGCATTACGCTGAGTGAACTAACTCAGTCTCATAAGGACAAATACTACATAAGACCATCATTGTAAAAATAGAAGGATAACTAATAAAACATGAATGGTAGCTCAAGGGGGTAAGGAGTGGGAGCAGAGGGGTGAAAATGTGTAGGGGCAAAACCACAGGGTTGCATAGTTTGGTGGGTAGAGGGAGAGGAGTTAAGGAAATGGAAAGGGTCTGGATAAAAAGACAGGAATGATGGGTAAGATCCAACGGTGATTTATTATGTAAAACATGATGCATGAAAATGATTGTATGAAACACAGTTGGAATAAAGAATAGTGTAAAACACAATGGAGATAAACTTTGTTACCAAACCAATTAATAAACAATTACAAGGCTTACAGCCAAAAAACCCCTCCAGTATGGTTCCAAGAGTTGTAAAGAACTAGACAACCCCCGACAACCCCATCACATACTGGGTGATGCGTTTGAGCCAAAGACAGTCTTTTCTCGCCTATCATCCAAGAGAGACAAAGAGAACACATAGTCCCAGTTTTGAAATAAGATGTTTCTACCTGGGTCTTTAAATAGATAAGTAAGATATGTAGGTAAGTTCAATCACATATGATTCTTACTTAAGCTTCCTTTACTCTAAGAAAGAAGCAGGAAGCAGGAGTGGCATCCACTTCCTAAACAACATGCCTCCGGAAACTCTGTGAACTTTGATAAATGTTGATTGTTGTAGGGGGGCTTCAAGCCTTTTGTTCACAGGGTCGCTATGAGTCGTGCTCAGCTTCAAGGTAATCAACAACAATAACAACAACACTCTAAAATAAAGAAACCCTAGTGGCATAGTCTGTCAGGAGTTGCACTGCTAACCTAAAGTCTGTACCTCTCTGATGGTTCGAATCCAGCAACAGCTCCTCTGTAGAATGTTGGCCATCTCCTCTTGTGTGATTGACAGTGGAAGGTCATCTGTGACTTGCTTCTGACACTATGGCAGCGTGAGAGAGAGGTGTCGTAGTGGATATCATGCCTGGCTGAAAACTGTTAAGCAATTCAGTCCCACCGAGAAAGATGAGCCTGTCTGCTTCCATAAAGATTTACAGCCTCAGGAATCCCGAGGGCAGGTCTGCATCATTCTAGAGGGTTACTCGGAGGCAGAATTGACTTAATAGCGGTGGTTCTAGTTTCAGAGTAAGAAAAGGCTCTGATGGTTCAAATCCACTACTGGCTCCCTGGGAAAAAGATGGACAATTTCCTTGTGTGTGATTTACAGCCTCAGAAAATGAATGGAATTTTACTATAAGTTGGTTCTGATTTGCTTGTAATGAGAGACACAGAAAGAGAGAGGGAGGGAGGGAGAGAGACAGAAAAACAGA